ACAAAAGGGGATCCATATAGACAACTTTGGTCACATCAATTGGATGAAAGCCTCTTTCTTTTCTTCATACATTTGACTTTCTACAGTGACTGTTGCCAGAGACACACAGCATCGATAATGACACATTCATCTGTGTTCTCCAGTAGAGTCGCCCCTTCCTGGCCATTAGAGAGACTGCTGCTGGTTTCAACAGTCAGTCACACACATACAGACTGCATTCAGGTCATGTGACATCTGTTCCATGTAGCTCCGTGATGGTAACTCAGACTGAAACGTGTACGTAACTCTGAGAAACAGTCCTGAAATTTCCCACCAAATGTTTGCTCAGATCCAGAATCCTGCCGATTGATCCTGAGATCAGATCCTTCCTGATTTAAACGTATGTGTCCAGTTTCAGACCAGTTTCACACTGGATCTGATTTCCCTTTTTGTACGGCTGCTTCTGTTTCCACAAAGTTGGCTTCTTTTGTTCAATCAAAAAAAGGCTTTTCTAGACAAACAGATTTCTCAAAGTAAAGTCTGAAAAAAGGATCATTTTGGTATCAGTGCTGCCGCTCAGGTGTTGGACCTGCATTAGCAGTGAAAATGTCAAACGCCACCCAGCGCTACATGAAACCATCGGACAGGTTGCTGCTGGGAGTGAGTCCTTCCTCCTGGATGATGTTGGCTCCTCTGGGATGTTTCAGGTCCACAGAAATCCTCTGAAATCAGACGCTCCATCACCAGAGGCTCGTTATTAACACGCAGGAAGACAAACAAGAACGAACGTGAACTTTTGTGGATGAAGCAGTTTCTTGTTTGGCAGCGTTGCAGATGGAGAATATGAGCTGACGTCTCTGCTTGCAGATGTTGTTTTTCTCTTTCCATCCCAGATGCGTTCATATCATAGAGTCTGACACAGACTGAAATCTCTCTGCAGGTCAAACTCTGAGAGAAAGAAAGTGAAAGCAGCGGCTGCTTGGAAGGAAGGAGGGAAACTGGATTTATTGAGCTCCAACATCTAAAATCCAGCAGTCTGCTTCTCTAAATGAAACGTCCTGATGTTTCACCCTGTGTGACGCAACAAGTCTGCTGTGACTGTGTGTGTGTGTCCACTGCACCTTCTGACACACACACTTCCCTTCTTGTTTGGGTGGACGCTGAGGAAACAGGCGCTCTCTGTGGCGACAAACGGAGGAGCCAAGGCTCTGCTGTCATCACCTGTTCACCACAATCCTTTCCTCACACTCAGGCAGAGGTGCACTATGAAGAAAGTGGAGCACAGTGACGCCACAGACGCCGACTCACCTGCTCTCTCCACTGTGATCAGCTCAGCTCCCAGATCTCCCAGGATCATGGAAGTAAAGGGAGCGGCCAGAACTCTGCAGACAGTTTCAAAGGTTTCACTTCAATCTGACGACTTTATCTGTGATCATGAAAGCTGAATATTACTGCAGCATTCAGACAGACTCTGAGCTGGAGGAACAGCAGAGGTGGAAGAAGTACTCAGATCAGAAGGAAAAGTACCAGGGAACAGCAGTGGCTATACAACCCTCAACTAATGCAGTAAATCATCCACCCAGGTCTGACTCCACCTCAGTCAAGGAGCAGACGTTTAAGGCAACTCAGTGCATCAACCTCCTCTGCCATTTCTATGTTGAACTCTAGCAGAACAGGCCATGTAGACTACAGGGTCTTGGCGACAGGTGGCTTAAAATGCCTGTAATAAAAACAGTGTTTGCATACCATCCAAAATCTTAACCTGCTCCCTGATCACACTGCAGCACAATGCATCAAGAGAGATCCTGAATGCTCCCTGTACATCAACTCTTAATGAGGTAATTGTCTCCAGGTGTGTGCCGCTACTGGAGCGGCAGGGTGGAGCTTACCTGAGAGGGCGAAACTAGATTGTGGCATTACTAGGCCGAAAGCCATCACAACAAGAAAATGGATAACCACCCAGGCTAACTAATTCACTGATATACAAGCTTACATTTAAACAGCTAACCTTGTTATCAAACTCAAACCATCGGTTAATATTTAGTTTTATCAGAGTTATTAAGCAGCTAGTTATCAATACACAAACACTTTTTACTAAAGGGGACCGGGGCCAAACTCCCCTAAACAGATGAGAAAGTCTGAGCACATTGTTCAGTTTTCTCCAGAGCAGCCTTTACTGCCAGTTAACAATCTGAGGGGTCATCAGTCAGATGGACACCGAGCTTTATTTGGACATTAACCCTTTCATTCACAAACACCTCAGAAGAAAAACCTTCTGGATATTCACTCTGTCACATCACAGAATACCAACAGCAACTTCTAATGACATTTTCTCACATCTGATACAAATGGGCAAACTCAGAGCAGGACTGAGTTCTCTTCCTTTTAACATATCAAGCATGTCCCACAAAACAAGCAACACGAAGCATTGAATCAATCCGTCCACACACGTCCCTCACACTGTCTTAATGCTGCAGCATGTCTGCAAAGATAATCAGAACCACACTGACAGTGCTGTACATACTTTTGAAAACAAATTGCAACAAACACATAACCCACCAAATGATCAGGAACATTAACTCGATCCAGTTACCATCACATATTACACTCAGCCTCCAAGAAACAGATAGGAGGACCAAGTAAACAGCAGATTTCTCCCCAATACTCAAGTTTTTCCTTTAATGCTCACCAGGTTTCACACATAAGTAGGCCTACATAACTAATGAGAACTACAGGCTGTATTAAAAACAAACATAATAAGTATATTACACTGGAGAAAAATGCAAAGGAAAATAAAAATCATACAACTCTACAGAGAGTTTTTAGCAGCTCCACAGAAAGAGAAGCTGGAGGCAGGTGAAGTTCTGCACACCCTTAAAACTCAGTGATCAGCTTCCTCTGGTAGCAGTGCAGCCTTCTCTGTGATAGAAACACAAGTCAAAAGGTCAAACCCTTTTATCCTGTTGGCGCCACAGAAGGGGACAGAGTGACCTCTGCTGGTTGAGCTCCCACACAGCAAGAAGGCCTATAAATATGTTAGGAAACTAAAAAATGAATTAAATAATATAATGTTAAATAAACAGGCTAACTGCTGTCCTAAGCTACATATAACATTAGTTCACTTGTCTTAATCTGAAGTTACAGGTCACCAATGGCCTTAAAAATGTTTAATTCTCCCTAACAGACAGAGTTTTTATTTTAGTTAACTCAAGTGTTTTTTTTCACACCCAGTTTTAGTTTAGTTTTATAACCTACTAAAAACGTTATTTTAGTTCAGTTTTAGTCTATAATCACCTTTCTAACTACATGGTACTTTTATTTTAAAGGTTTTACCAGTTGCTTTCTCTTTCATAAAAGGAATAGACCACGTGACTTCCGTTTTGGTTCAAGTTCAAAGACTCTCTTCATTCTTTGTTCAAAAAGGAATAACAATAAAATGAATCGCCAAAAACAAAAAACAGGTGGTTTTTAATTGGTTTTTCGTTTTTTGATTTTGAAACAAAAAACAGATAAACGGGCTTTACTGCCAAGTACTGTTTTACACATAGGAGGAATTTGCTGTGGTGATAAGGTGCTACACGTAGACAAACATACAGTCAACATAAATAAATGTAGAAATATATAAATATGAATTGGAAGAACAACGTTGCAGATATATACATGTGCATTATTCTGGGTCAGTGCCGTGCAGAAGTAACGCATATACGAATATTTTGTACATATTCTCTTCCGTTGCGTTACTTCTGCACGGCACACATGGCTAGATTGTATCTAGTGAGGTTGTTCCTTGGTTAATTCAAGCATTACACACAATGTTTGTTAGACAGTGCATCGGTGACGGGTGATAAGATCAGTGGCATATGATGACCGAGGTCATATTTTGGACATCTGTTAGATAGAATACAATGATTTATTTTACAACTCCGCATGTTAATGGCTCCCTGTGACTAATAAAGGTAAAAACGTGATACTGTAGTGATTCAGAATTATGATGAAAGTAGCACATGGACACTGCTGGTGACACATTGAACTTTAAACTAACTGTCCCTTGTGTGTAAAGGAATGTATGAATAGGCGTTTGTTTCAGGTGTATGAACACCTGATATATCTATACCTAGATAAAGTAAGCCTCAAGTTCCAGCTGTCAAACAGCTGAGATTTAATTTGCAAGGCCGTCCAGAATCAACTATATGTTTGTGTTGTTTTTTGTTTGTTTTCAGCAGGACGGATTTTGAGCGGAGAGTGGAGCGATGACCAGGCTGATGGAGCTTTCAGAAATGTCTGTCCACCAACCAGGACACTCTTCAAGTTCTGAACCAGATGTGGGACATCTGGCATGAAATATAGCCCCCTGTCTGGTCTTGCAGGATGTGAGAATTAAAAAAGTGTTTTTTGGAAGACATCACATTCAAAGAAAACTTACCTACCTGGATATAAAATATAATGAAATGTATTGTTGGATGATATTGGTTGCCTTGTATATTTTGCTCTGTTTACCAAAACTTCTTTCTTGACTTAAAATACATTGATATTTACTTGTTGTGCATGTGTATGTGAATGTGTCTTAACATAACATGAGAATGTCAGTAATTATGACAATAGAAGCATGAGAAAAACATCTCCATACTGTGATGTATTATATGTTATGGGAGCAGCCCCCCCCCCCCTCCAATATTAAACAAAAGAATGTAATTACATTTAAAGGGCTTTATTGGCATGAAGGTTTCAAGAACAGTGTTTCCAAAGCATCAATACACACAGTTTACAGTAAGTTAAAAATGGACATGTTATTAGTTATAAAACAAAATACAAAGTGAATGGACAGAAGAAAAATTAAGAAAAAGAAAAATGCATATCATCAGTTGATGAAACAAACAAAACAGGTGCTAATGATCATACATTCAATATGTAGGTGGAAACAGGATGATTGAGGTAAACAGCCTAACTCAGTTTACAAGGTAAGAGTGTGTGTGTGTGTGTGCACGCGCGCGCGCACGCGCAGAGAAGTCACATGATTTCCAGTAACTGAGAGAGAGAGAGGGGGGAGGAGCAACAGTGATCTGGGGCGAGTTCAATTTCAAAACGTTTTGCTACGTTTTGTCTGTGCTGAACTCGTAAAAACAGGTAAAAAGAAGGAGGAAAAGTGAAGGCTGAGGCAGGGTGAGTGTTAATCCAACATTTTTATTATGTTACTCTCAAAGTCTCTGAGTCAGTTTTCTCCCTGTGGACTGTAGAGGAAAGAAGCGTTAAAGTGAACTCAACACAGTTTTAATGCGGACAGAATGAAACGGAATCTCGTTAGAGTGACAGAAGCTGCAGGAATGTAGCCAGACGAGGCTGATGCCATCGTACCGTTACCTGCTGAGTGAAAGCAGCATATACTTATCATTAACTGTAACAGCATTGTTGGTATACTGAATTGCATCTATTACTCGTTAACTAAACTAATGTTAATCGACTAATGCAGGATAGGCCTACAGAAGTAGAAGTTGCAGTTCCTACAGTAGGCTACATAACCGAAGTTTGATAATGGTTGGACGATAAGTGTGCTTGAGATGATGTGGACCACTTTTTGTGTCCTCACTGTTAATAATATTCTGTAATGAATGAGTGTTGGTGATAGAAATACACATGGGCCTATGCTCATTGTTATTACTGCTACTGAGCCCCAGCTTTCCATTATTGTTAATAATAGTTGCAACTTACACTCTTAAATGTGCATTGAAAATTGCCAGCTGGTAAAAGCTTTGCTCCAGGTATCAGATTCATGTAACATCCAGGCTTCATGTAGCTCCTAAATAGCGGACTTAGGGGGCTTTCACACCTACCTCGTTTGGTCCGAACCAAAAATACAGGTGTGAAACCTCTGGTGTGAAAGCATTTTTTTTTTGATGGTTCGGACTTCCAGACTATTTACAGGAAGTTCGGCGTTTGCCGTATTAACCGGAAACAAACAAATGCACAGAGAAATGAGTACAAAATTATAAATCTCCCGTGACAGATCATCTTTTCAAACAGAAATTATAGAAGCACACTGCCACCCATCCCTTTAGTCTCTCCTCAAACGGAGGAGCAGAAGGATCGCTTGCTGTCTTCTCCTCCTGTCCTGTCGGCGACGTTATAATGTTCGCACAACGAGGACGTTTAATTGCGTCTAGCCTTCAGTATAGTTGGTGCTGCAGGTAGTAATGGAATAATAATAACAATATAGTGGTGGCAAATATGCACATGTTTTTCTTCATTTATTCTTGTCAAAGATACCTGCTGAACTGTTACTGAAACGTCAACGTCAAGTATCATAGGCTGGATGATAGGACAGGACGCAAGTGAGTCCTGTAAAGTCCTTTAGTGCAGTCGCAGAATTGCAGTCTGAAACCAAAACTAAACTAAACGAATGTATCAAAACATGAACTTTGGTTCGGTCCTTGGTGCGGACTTTCAGGTGTGAAAGCCCCCTTAGATGGTGAGCAACACTAAACTTTAGAATATCAGTCTAGATTCCCCATAGGTGTCATTTACACAGGACGCTGGGGATATGTCGCCACCACTTCCTGAAAGCATTTGTTAAAAATGTTCTGAAAAATAGCTTGCGACAAGAATTGTGTTGTAATAACAAATGCAAGTGCTATGAGAGTATTTTGGCACAATAAGAAAACATGCAATGCCATGTAAATATAGAAAAAACAGACCTGCATTGTCCCCAAAAAATTACCTAAGCTAAAAAAACAAAACTATTTACTGATTACTGCATTAAATTCAATTATATTTTTATATTCTTAATTGTCACCTGCCACCTGCATTTTGTGTTCACCTTTATATAAATAAATTAGTGCAGAAAATGTCTCCAGAATGCAGGTAATTAAGTGTTTAATGCTCTTAATCTGAAATATCTTCTAGTCTTGTTCTTGTGACCCCAATATTCTGGATTGTCACATCTCATATTGTGTGTTTTGTCACAACTCTAATCTGAGCCGTTAAATGTCCCCACCCTTGCCCACCTGTGACTGTCATTGGCTGTTAAAGTCTTTGCAGTGTTGATGACACATAGCCTAAGCAGTCCTTCAGAATGCTCTCTATTACATGTACATGCATACTGTATTGTAACACTCATTAGCTGAAAAAAATTCACCGCATGGAGGTCCCCTCTTTGGTAGGTAGATACTGCTCAAGGATCCAAGTGCCCTCTTGGCAATTTCTTGAAGACAATGTTCTCGTTTTATTTTCACAGACTCCATCATTGGCCTATGGTAACCCCTCCTAGTCTCTTATCATTGGCTCACGGTAACTCTGCCCATCCTCTTATTTTGTATGTGACAGCATGTGGGAGATAACTGGTGAGGGGTTGGGGGCCGTTGCTTCTGGTACAACCAGATTATTATATAGTCTGTAGTTCCAAACTCTTGTCTCCGGCTGATAAAAATAGGTTCCCGTTTTCGAAAACAAACTCTGTCTGATAAACCCAGACCGTTTTTAACAACCAGAGTCTGGGGTTATAGATAACTCAAGTTTAAGACTAGGCTACAGCTTTGGAGTGATAATGATGGCAAGTTTGTAAGACAAAGCACTAGCAAAGATTTTACAAAGTTTAATTTTGGAACTCTCTCTTATTTTGCTGCATGCTGTTGAAGGTAATTTAAAAAGCTGTTTAATTTTAACTCACTGTTATACTATTTTACTGTAATTATTTCAATTTATTCTTTAGTTCTTTAATGATAAGTTTGTCACACAAAGCTTTAGCAAAGATTTTACAAAGTTTAATTTTGGAGCTCACTCTTATTTTGCTGCATGCTGTTGAAGGTAATTTAAAAAGCTGTTTAATTTTAACTCACCATCATTATTTCAATTTATTCTTTACTTGTTTAATAATAAAGACTGACTTGATTCCAAATCAATGAAGAAACCTCCTACTGATCCTTTGCTGGCCTCGGAGATTCCTCCTTTATTTATAACTCACTGCTATACTTTTTTAATGATAAATTTATTGCCATAAACACCTACTAATTAATTCATTCAAGTTCATGTTTTATTACTTAATAAAGTCTTTAAATCAATGAAAAACCTCCTCCAATTATCAGTCAAAAACACACAACGGAAGGATGTACGCACCCCTCTTATCAGTTACATACGCATATTTACGGTTGGGGTGGATCAGTTACATACACATATCCGGTGTGGGGGCAGGACCGGAAGTAGCTGTCAAAATTAGTTTGATGGAATGTCATGTATATTTCTCTCTTGCTGTCAATGGTAATGAGTAAAGATTAGTACCGTGTTACGTCCCGAGGTGTCTAGGGATATAGGGACATAAACATAAACCAGATGTTGTTGGATTGGAAGGATATTTATTTGAAATAATGCAAGTGGAGCACAAACAGAGGATGGGCCAATGGGTGCTGTGGAAATCAACAAACAATTATAACAAAAGGAGATCCTCAAAAGGAGGATTACTGCTTACAGAGATACTAACAAAACAAGAATAAACCAAAAGCTCACTAGCCTACTGCATTTGAAAAACCCAAAACGCACAGCACCCCTGAACCTGGTGTAAACTAACATAAAACAACTATGGTGTGTGCAAGAAAGGTGTCACTGATAGCTAAGCTTAGCCCTGGCCCACTCTCTTACCTTCACACAGTGAAACACACAATGTCAAGACACAAAGTCTAACACGGGTTACAAAACACTACTATAATCTCTAAGACAGGCGTTCCCGAGGCAAGCAACTCAGGTCAGATTGCTGCCCCGAATGGCAGACCCAGCAGGCTTTTAAGCAGGTGGTGGTCGTCACGGTCTCCATCTGATTGGCCCGTAGCATGCCGCACCAATCGAGGGCATGGTAACTGGAAACCCAGGAAGTAGGCGGGACCTTCTCTCCTTGTGCAGCCAATCCTCCGCGTGGGCTTGCACAGCCTGCTCAGCATAACAGATAGTCCACTTGAAAGCACAGGCAAATACAGGTGGGGGCGGTGGCAGCCGTAACAACCGTTAATACTTGTGGCTGGCCCACTGGACTCTACTACATCTAAATTTTTCTGTACAATTGTACATAGTTTACTATTGAATACTTTATCACTGTATTTGTGTTTGTATTATACAGTCTTGTATTAGGCTACTACTGAAGTTGTGCAGTATGCATTTATTCATGTTTAAATTATTTTACACCTTCCTGTCAGAGCTGTTAAAGAAAGCTTTGTAAAAGTATATGAAAAGCAGAGATATTCTGTATTCTATAAATCCCACTTAGGAAGTTATAGCATATTTTAATGTGAAATGACAACACGCTTCTTTCTGAAAAAAAAGCATTCTTTTTATATATACACAGGTGCTGGTCATATAATTAGAATATCATCAAAAAGTTGATTTATGTAACGAGCGTGGATTAATTTAACCTCAAGCTGATAAAAATATTAGTGTAACGGTGCAGTGGGAGTTTACCTGAGTTTCCAGCATGTTGTAGATGTCTCTCTGTCTGTAGGCGCTCTCACACTGCCTTTTTTCTGGGAGTATTGAGCCAAAATGTCTGGAGAAAAGCCACAGCCTGCATGCAGGTGTTGCGTTTATTGCAGGATTTCTGTATGACAGCGGTTGTGTTTTGGATTATACTCGCTCATGACTTCAAGCGAGCACGCGTACGAGCACACACGTGGTTGCAATGTTAAAACCGCGCCGCAAGTGGCCGCTGAAAACTACATAATGCCCCTTAATTGAAGAAATCAAGTTGTGAGTTGGAGATATCTTGTGTCCGAATAGTAACTAAAAATAGTTATTAGTACCTATAATGGAATAATTACTAGTAACCTTAAAATTAAAGGTCCAGTGTGTAATATTTCTGAGGATCTATTGACAGAAATGCAATATAAGATCCATAACTATGTTTTCAGTGGTTTATAAAGACCTTATATAATAAACCATTATGTTTTTATTACCTTAGAATGAGACATTTATATGTACATAACTGCGAGCACCCCCTTCCATGGACGTTGCCACGTTGCATCGTCATATTTCTACAGTAGCTGAAACCAGACAAACAGCGATATAGAACGCGTTTCATCACAACATTCTTCTTGTTCTACTACTACTAGAATTCAGGCAGTGGTGGATGAGAATATAAGCCATAATAATACCATGTGTTAGTATGTAGCTCAGTTGATAAGGTGCAGCGTTCATAATCAAAGGATAGTTGTTGTTTTTTTGTTCTCTGTGCAACAAATGGATTCTGCAGCGAATGTTTCTGAGATCACGGCATGTGCTGCACTATTTTTGTTTTGGTGTTTGATCCTCAAACTATGGACGCTTTTTCATTTCCCCAGTATCTCCAGGCAGAGCACATTCAGGGGAATCACGTTTTCTGACCGCTCTTTCACGGATATGTCAAGCAGACTCTTTTAGTGTTGTAAAAGCTCAGTTCAACTTCAAATAGAAGATTGCCATAAACAAGCTTTCTTGCACTTTTATTTTGTAGGCAAAACCACTAAAGAGGAAGTGATTATGTGAGTAACTGTTGCTGTCATGACTGAGATCTATTTTTAAGCAAAGCTATCAAAGTATTTATTTATTTATATTTTTTGCTGCTATCCAAACACCATAATCTGGCAGTGGGCCAGATATTATTGTTTCCGGGCGGTTTTGTGTTTCCCTTGTCAATGTTTGTATAAACTTTATTTAAGGTTTATAATGGACTGTGGTGCAGAGACAGTGACAGTGTTTCACACTTTTACATTTTCCATGTCACATCTGTCAGTGGTAAATTCGCAAAATGGTTTTACTTAATAATTAAGTAAATATAATTTCTTAATAAATCTACCTAAAGAAACCTCATTTCTTGACTGGCCACTCTCTGCTGCCTCAGAAGAGACACCTTTTGTGCTGTGTCAGACACCGTAGCTGTCTTACCCTCTTTGAAAGATTAGGGGGCAGTGGTAGGCTGGATAGAATGTTGCAATTCACAGCCCTCACCACTAGATGCCACTAGATGTTACACACTGAACCTTTAAGTATTAGTTTCTAATAAGTTGTTACTAGTAAAACGGGTGCAATCGATATTGACTAGCAGCTATGTACAGCGTGCTAACCTCGACTACCCAGCTGTATTCCAATGTTAACATAGCTATTTTACCTTCGGGGAAAGTTGAGATTCTGGGTGTCCTGTCCTCCCCTTTAGGGGTAAATGACAGAGGAAGGATTTTCTGTAATGATGTAATTCTTGTGACTCGTGTGTTTAAAATATATATTTATATTTTAGTTTTTTTATCTGTTTGAATACTAATCACATTTTTGCTTTGTTTGTATTGTAATATTTTGTACAAGATGTTGATTTTATAAATGTATATACACACGACAAATGTCATAGAAAAAATGGCATGTACTGGTCACATGACATACACAGTGTATATTTAGCACACCTGTGAGTGTTTTTGTAATTTCACTGTGTGAGCCTGAAGAAGCAATGGGCGAAACGCATTGCTCACATTAAATGCAGTAAAGTCATATCAGTGTGCGGTAACTTGTTTTTGATTTTTATCATATCATCTTAGTTCTAATAGTGACGTAGTTAAAATCGCCTTAATATCGGCGCATGAAAAACCAATTACTGATCATCCCTTCAATCGTCAATTGCCGATCCAATCGGCACAAGCCGAAGTAATACCCCACTTTCGTATTTGCCAAATCTTTTGTGACTGCGGACAATCTACTTCCTGTTTACTCCGGCAAGCGGATGCCCAGTGTACGTGAAGCTGCTAAAACACTGGTGTGGATGGAGGCCGTAGTGTGGATGTAGCATCAGATTTGTTTCCTGGTTCTTGTGTTCTGAGCTCACAGTCAGTGTCACTGTTTCACCTCTCAGACTGACTGAAGTCCAGAAGATGAGTGTTTGTGTGGAGGAAGAGGAGGACAGAGCAGAGTCTGCAGCATCCAGCTGTCTGTCTATGAAGAGTGACCGGTCCAAAGAGCATCCTATATTCTTCAGTAATGAACCTGGACCCTCAGACACAAAGTAAGAGACTGTTTTTTACAGTAAACTGACCTGATGGAAGATGATGCATTGAGGATGAAGACAAAATGTTCTGCTAAAAGATTTATATTCCTGATACTGAACTATTAGTGCAGATACTGTATTCCTTGAAATTCAGCAAAATGTGATCACCGCGTTTGATCAGTGTTTGAAAATGATCTTAAGAGGTGGATGCATTATTCGGCAGAACAGATAATGTCCCATAGGACAGCAAAATCCAAGATGAGATCTCATAGTTGTTTCCTTCTTTTCTCCCAGACACAATGAGCTGCTTTTAATACCAAGGTGAGACCAAAGGCCTTTTCTCCCACTTCTCAAATTCATCTCAGGAGAAACAACCATATAAAATCTCATCTATGTCTGACTCTGTTCAAAACAAGAGATCTCTGACTGATCTTAAATAAGTCTAATTTAAGTCTCCTGAACATTGGACCATGAGATCAGAGAAAGAGCTCAAAGAAAACTCAGATATGTCTCCTGGGATCTCATGATTCTGAGTCTGTTTTCTCATATTGGCCTCAGGAGCAAAAACTCATCTCTGTCTTACTCTGATCAAAGGATGAGATCTACAGTATCTTAAATAAGTGTCATTTCAGTCTCCAGAATGTGGATCAGAAAAAAAGCTCCAAGATATTTCTCAGTTTTGTCTTAGTGAACTCCGGTTAGTGGTTATTTTACTCAAGTACTTTACTTACGTCAAATGTTGAGGTTGAGTATTTTCTTTTTATGGGGGTTTGTACTTTTACTTCCCTTAATTTCAAATCCTTATTGTATTTATTGTTAATTATCTGTTACAAGTTAATGAGAAAGATAAAATTAATTTTGACATTGAAAATAATGGACTTTCAAATGTCATGTTTTCCAATTGGTTAAGGTCACAGCCAGCATAACTGGAACACCCAATACTTTGACCTGATGTTCAGAGATTAATTCATTAATGACGAATGCACCCAAGAACTGAGATACAACAAGTATCTGTCATACAGAATAAGCACTTTTACTTTTGATACTTAAGTACATTCACTATGGAATACTTTTATACCTTTTACTTGAGTAGACTTTTAAGGACTTTAATTGTGGATATGGTATTTCTCCTCTTTTTACTATAGGAAACTTGTACTCTATTTAAAGACAATCAGTCCTTCACTGTTACTTTTAGCTGGATGGTGCAGCGGCAGTGTTGTTGCCCTTTGAACAGCAGGAGTGGGGTTCAAATCCAGCTCAGGGCCTCCAGCACGGTTCTCCAAGCAGACAGTGATGTGATACAAACATCTCCCCAGAGCTCCCAACTACCTTTTAGGAGCAATAAGCAAGACATTGATGAACTCAAAAAGAGGCAATGATTATTATCCTGGTGTAATCTCAATTCAGTATCCATTTGTCTTATCCAAGTCTCAAAACCTCAATCTCTCTTCATCTCATCCTTTTCTCCTAAGGGGTTTTAGGATCAACAATTCAGATTGGAGTGATCTCAAGAAGATATATTATTGAGATCTTAGTTTTTCTCAGGAGTTAAAGAAAATACTATTCTGAGCAAAAGATTTTTCCTCTGGGGTAGGCTATCTGCCGAAATTTGCATCCAAGTCTTTTTTCAGCATAAATGAGTGTCACCTCCCACGAGGTGCATACAATTCTCGGCAAGCATGCAGAATTCGGCACAACACCGCCCACACTAAGCCATGGTTTTGCTCGAAGTTTCTGCCTCTTAAAAGGGAGTTTTTCCTTGCCTCTGTCGCCTAGTGCTAGCTCATGGTGGGAATTGTTGGTTCTCTGTAAATAATATTCAGTTCAGTTTTATTTATATTGCGCCAAATCACAACAACAGTTATCTCATAAAGCTTTTCATAGAAGAGCAGGTCTAGACTGTCCTCTGTGATGTTATTTACAGAAACCCAACAATTCCCACCAAGAGCAGCACTAGGAGAAAGAGGCAAGGAACAACTTCCTTTTAAAGGGGACCTATTATACTGCATTTCCAGCCCTATATTGTAGTTCTGTGACTCAGCATCTGTCTGAAACAAGCTGTTTCTTTAAGACCCAGCCCCACATTTCTACTGGCAACATGCCTTCAATTCTTAAATTAACAAGTGATGCATCAACAGCCAGAAGCTGTGCACCCCTAGTGTAGACTAATCTTCATTAATATTTAACAGCTAATTTTCTTAAAGGGGCTATATGTAGTTTTTTCATTGCCTTATTATCAATTGGCTCATAACTCACTTAGAAATGAAGCACATGCCTGTTTTTTCTGTTGCTTGCATCAGCGCCAATTCTGGTGTAAATGTGTGGACACCAGGTCGGATTCAGCTCTGTGCGCGCTCCAGAGCCTTACATCTAACGACATGCAGTCAACTAACACCATAAAACACCCGGCTCATAGCAAAACACAGATGCCACGTTCGGATAGTAAACAACAATAAAGGTTTATGTGCTGAAGCCCATCAGACCAAACATTCAGATGATGTCTAGTAAAAACACAGAGAAAGTCATGTTAGCTCGCCAGCTAAGTTGTATGGCTGTCCACATTACTTCACCAGCTAATGCGACCCATATTACTATCCTGTGTACCACCGGTATTATTATGTTAAGTGTTGATTTAGCCTGCAAGAAATTATGATGACGGTGAAAAACAATTTGAAGCAATTTGTTTACCAGCCTACAGTGATGCAACCAGGAGCCGCCAGCTAACGCTACAGTAGCTCGGACCTGCCGCTGTTTGCTTCGTAACGTTCAATTTAGATTTATTGTGGTGTTACTGATACTCAGGTACACAGCTTCTCCACCTCTCAGTCGTTGTAACTAATGTGACCCACATAATATACAATACTGCAACAAAACGGCGACAACAACACAGAAGAAGAGCCATCCACTGACTTACAGTAAAGTTACTTACTGCGGTCAAACTGTCATAAAGTCTCGTTATATTTAGTCCAGCTCACTAACCATTTCGTTGTCATCCAATACATGTACATTAGCTGTGCTGACATTGCTGAGCCTCCGGTGAAAGATAACGTTACACAGATAGTAAAGATAGTTAGCCTACTGAAAAGCAGCAGGCGAGCTAACAGTGGAGCACGTCGGCTAAATGCAGTAAATGTACCGTTATCATATAACGAGCGTGGATTAATTCAACCTCAAGCTGATAAAAATATTAGTGTAACGGTGCAGTGGGAGTTTACCTGAGTTTCCAGCATGTTGTAGATGTCTCTCTGTCTGTAGGCGCTCTCACACTGCCTTTTTGCTGGGAGTATTGAGCCAAAATGTCTGGAGAAAAGCCACAGCCTGCATGCAGGTGTTGCGTTTATTGCAGGATTTCTGTATGAAAGCGGTTGTGTTTTGGATTATACTCGCTCATGACTTCAAGCGAGCACGCGTACGAGCACACACGTGGTTGCAATCTTAAAACCGCGACGCTAGTGGCCGCTGAAAACTACATAATGGCCCTTAATTGAAGAAATCAAGTTGTGAGTTGGAGATATCTTGTGTCCGAATAGTAACTAAAAATAGTTATTAGTACCTATAATGGAATAATTACTAGTAACCTTAAAATTAAAGGTCCAGTGTGTAATATTTCTGAAGATCTATTGACAGAAATGCAATATAAGATCCATAACTATGTTTTCAGTGGTTTATAAAGACCTTATATAATAAACCATTATGTTTTTATTACCTTAGAATGAGACATTTATATGTACATAACTGCGAGCACCCCCTTCCATGGACGTTGCCACGTTGCATCGTCATATTTCTACAGTAGCTGAAACCAGACAAACAGCGATATAGAACGCGTTTCGTCACAACATTCTTCTTGTTCTACTACTACTAGAATTCAGGCAGTGGTGGATGAGAATATAAGCCATAATAATACCATGTGTTAGTATGTAGCTCAGTTGATAAGGTGCAGCGTTCATAATCAAAGGATAGTTGTTGTTTTTTTTGTTCTCTGTGCAACAAATGGATTCTGCATCCCAACCTACAGACGCTTTTTCATTTCCCCAGTATCTCCAGGCAGAGCACATTCAGGGGAATCACGTTTTCTGACCGCTCTTTCACGGATATGTCAAGCAGACTCTTTTAGTGTTGTAAAAGCTCAGTTCAACTTCAAATAGAAGATTGCCATAAACAAGCTTTCTTGCACTTTTATTTTGTAGGCAAAACCACTAAAGAGGAAGTGATTATGTGAGTAACTGTTGCTGTCATGACTGAGATCTATTTTTAAGCAAAGCTATCAAAGTATTTATTTATTTATATTTTTTGCTGCTATCCAAACACCATAATCTGGCAGTGGGCCAGATATTATTGTTTCCGGGCGGTTTTGGCGAGGATCCATAATCACAGAGAGAATTGTGTTTCCCTTGTCAATGTTTGTATAAACTTTATTTAAGGTTTATAATGGACTGTGGTGCAGAGACAGTGACAGTGTTTCACACTTTTACATTTTCCATGTCACATCTGTCAGTGGTAAAGTCGCAAAAGTAAATATAATTTCTTAATAAATCTACCTAAAGAAACCTCATTTCTTGACTGGCCACTCTCTGCTGCCTCAGAAGAGACACCTTTTGTGCTGTGAAAGATTAGGGGGCAGTGGTAGGCTGGATAGAATGTTGCAATTCACAACCCTCACCACTAGATGCCACTAGATGTTACACACTGAACCTTTAAGTATTAGTTTCTAATAAGTTGTTACTAGTAAAACGGGTGCAATCGATATTGACTAGCAGCTATGTACAGCGTGCTAACCTCGACTACCCAGCTGTATTCCAATGTTAACATAGCTATTTTACCTTCGGGGAAAGTTGAGATTCTGGGTGTCCTGTCCTCCCCTTTAGGGGTAAATGACAGAGGAAGGATTTTCTGTAATGATGTAATTCTTGTGACTCGTGTGTTTAAAATATATATTTATATTTTAGTTTTTTTATCTGTTTGAATACTAATCACATTTTTGCTTTGTTTGTATTGTAATATTTTGTACAAGATGTTGATTTTATAAATGGATATACACACGACAAATGTCATAGAAAAAATGGCATGTACTGGTCACATGACATACACAGTGTATATTTAGCACACCTGTGAGTGTTTTTGTAATTTCACTGTGTGAGCCTGAAGAAGCAATGGGCGAAACGCATTGCTCACATTAAATGCAGTAAAGTCATATCAGTGTGCGGTAACTTGTTTTTGATTTTTATCATATCATCTTAGTTCTAATAGTGACGTAGTTAAAATCGCCTTAATATCGGCGCATGAAAAACCAATTACTGATCATCCCTTCAATCGTCAATTGCCGATCCAATCGGCACAAGCCGAAGTAATACCCCACTTTCGTATTTGCCAAATCTTTTGTGACTGCGGACAATCTACTTCCTGTTTACTCCGGCAAGCGGATGCCCAGTGTACGTGAAGCTGCTAAAACACTGGTGTGGATGGAGGCCGTAGTGTGGATGTAGCATCAGATTTGTTTCCTGGTTCTTGTGTTCTGAGCTCACAGTCAGTGTCACTGTTTCACCTCTCAGACTGACTGAAGTCCAGAAGATGAGTGTTTGTGTGGAGGAAGAGGAGGACAGAGCAGAGTCTGCAGCATCCAGCTGTCTGTCTATGAAGAGTGACCGGTCCAAAGAGCATCCTATATTCTTCAGTAATGAACCTGGACCCTCAGACACAAAGTAAGAGACTGTTTTTACTGTAAACTGACCTGATGGAAGATGATGCATTGAGGATGAAGACAAAATGTTCTGCTAAAAGATTTATATTCCTGATGCAGAACTATTAGTGCAGATACTGTTGCAAACATTCCACCTCTGTTGACTCATCAGTACATCAGTCCAAATTGGGGTTCTGTGTCTGTCAGACAGTCTGAAGAGGAAACTACCACATCAGCAGAGCAATCATGTAATGCACAGCATTATTGGGCAGGTAGACTTGAATGAATTCTTATTAAATTATTACATTATTCTCATAATATTATGACTTTTCTCTCGACGTGTCAGAGAAGACATGTGGGAGAGTTTCTGAATGTGCAGAAAGTTTTGAACATGAGCAGAAAACCTGCTGAAAAACAGGAGCTATTAAAGTCCAGGAGTTTCTAACTGATTTAAAATTAATTAATTTATCATTGAGGTGAAAAGGTGCCACATGCACATTTAAACAGGTTACTTACCCCAACAAAGGCACAAAGAGGAGGGAAGCTGCAGGAAGTGTTGAGTTTGTATTAATAAAAAACTCCAGGCAGATCACTAAATGTCTAAATGTAAAAGACAATCACTAAAATCAAAAGACAGACAGACAGGAAAAGCAGTTAATTCATTAGAGTTACTGAAAGCAGGAGAGCTGAATCATCATCTTCATTACTGACTGAAAACAGAAAAGTAACGACACTTTTACTGTTCTCTGTGACCATCTGAGCTTCTACACAGTGTCGGACACATCTGGAGATTTTTCAACAACAAGCAACAAATCATTTTAGTTCTAAAGAAATGTCTTCACAGAGAGAGGAAGAGGAGTCCTGTTCCTGTGGAGGAGCAGCCGTCCTGCTGTGCTTTGTGTCAGGACGTCCTGAAGGATCCAGTCTCTACCAGCTGTGGACACTGGTTCTGCAGACAGTGCATCACCTCATACTGGGACCAGTCTGCTTCATCAGGAGACTCCTCCTGTCCCCAGTGTGGAGGTAAGATCCAGAACCAGAGCTGGACTGCAGACAGCCAGTCAGAGCAGCTCTATACAAAGTAAGACTGTTCATCTGTCTGCTGATGTCCTGATGTCTGAAAACAGGACTTTCTGTTTAATTACAGGAACATTTGGTTTTTAATATTCTCATGAATATCATCCATCCAAAACATTTGATTTATCTGGATTCTTGCTCTCTGTTTAGTCTCAGGTTATTTGTTCTTCTCTTTCAGCAGATAGTGGTCTGCAGGAGGTTTTAGATGAACATAAGATCAGTCTGAGGAGGAGATGTGAACGTGTGACTGAAGGAAGTGATGAAACAGGAAGTGGAACCCTCCTCAACAGGATCTACACTGAGCTCTACATCACAGAGGGACAGAGTGAAGAGGTTAATACCCAGCATGAGGTGAGGCAGCTTGAGACAGCTTCCAAGAAGAAGACCCTCCATGACACTCCAATCAAGTGTCACGACATCTTTAAAGCCTTACCTGGCCAACAGAGACCCATCAGAGTGGTTCTGACCAACGGCGTTGCTGGCGTTGGAAAAACCTTCTCAGTGCAGAAGTTCACTCTGGACTGGGCAGAGGGCTCGGAAAACCAAGATGTCAGTCTGCTGGTTCTGCTCTCGTTCAGGGAGCTGAACTTGATCAAAGATGAGCAGCACAGTCTCCTCACGCTGCTCCATGTTTTCCATCCAACATTACAGAAGGTCCCAGCAGAGAAGCTCGCTGTCTGGAAACCGTTGTTCATCTTTGACGGCCTGGATGAAAGCAGACTTTCATTAAACTTCAACAACAATGAGGTTGTGTCTGATGTCACACAGAAGTCATCAGTCAACCTGCTGCTGACAAACCTCATCAAGGGGAATCTGCTTCCCTCGGCTCTTGTCTGGATAACTTCCCGACCTGCGGCAGCCAATCAGATCCCTCCTTCATGTGTTGGCAGGGTAACAGAAATACGAGGCTTCACTGACGCCCAGAAGGAGGAGTACTTCAGGAGGAGAGTCAGTGATGAAGAGCTGTCCAGCAGAATCATCTCACACATCAAGACCTCCAGGAGCCTCCACATCATGTGTCTAATCCCAGTCTTCTGCTGGATCACTGCTACAGTTCTGGAGCACATGTTGACTACAGAGCAGAGAGGAGAGCTGCCCAAGACCCTGACTGACCTGTACTCACACTTTCTGCTGGTTCAGATAAAGAGGAAGAAGCACAAGTACGATGAGGGACATGAGACGAGTCCACAGGAGCTGACGGAGGCTGACAGGAAGGTTCTTCTGAAGCTGGGGAGGCTGGCGTTTGAACAGCTGGAGAAAGGAAACATCATGTTCTACCAAGAAGACCTGGAGCAGTGTGGTCTTGATGTCACAGAGGCCTCGGTGTACTCAGGAGTTTGTACAGAGATCTTCAAAAGAGAGAGTGTGATCTTCCAGAAAACAGTCTACTGCTTTGTTCATCTGAGCGTTCAGGAGTTTCTGGCTGCAGTCTACATGTTCTACTGTTACACCAGCAGGAACTCAAAGGTACTGAAGGACTTTCTGGGTAAAAAAAAAGATGATTCAACCTTGGATTTCTTCTTGACGGGAGCAATGAAGAAATCTCTGAGGAGTAAAAATGGCCACCTGGACCTGTTTGTTCGCTTCCTTCATGGCCTCTCTCTGGAGTCCAACCAGAGACTCTTAGGAGGCCTGCTGGGTCAGACAGACAACAGTCCAGAAATCATCCAGAGAGCCATCAGCAATCTGAACAAGATGAACAATAATAAGATCTCTCCTGACAGAAGCATCAACATCTTCCACTGTCTGACGGAGATGAATGACCACTCAGTACATCAGGAGATCCAAGAGTTCCTGAAGTCAGAGAACAGATCAGAGAAGAAACTCTCAGAGATCCACTGCTCAGCTCTGGCCTACATGCTGCAGATGTCAGAGGAGGTTCTGGATGAGTTGGACCTGAAGAAGTACAACACATCAGACCAGGGACGACTGAGGCTGATTCCAGCTGTGAGGAACTGCAGAAAGGCTCGGTAAGTCCAAGGGCCTATGCCACCAAGCAAGTTTAACATTCCCAGGATATCTTTCCATTATCTGGTTTCACTGACCCTAACAATCGGTATTAGGATGAGCGGTCACACGAAGGTGGTTATGAACTCGGTAAGTCAACCTGGGGTTTCCCAATCCAGCCGTGAGCACGTACACATAAAAGAGGCGTTGTTAGCAGGAAATGACCAATTAAAGACATGAACAAGTCTACTGGCAGCAGAGCGGCACATTTTGTAAACAAAGCGCAACCTGTAATATTAAGACAAATACAGCATGGTCTAAGTAACACAGCTGCTGGACACTTGTAGGGAGACGTAGTCTATGTAGCATGGCTAAATGCTACAGAATGTAGGGTTTTGGTCTTACTGCTTGTGTTTCTTCCGCCGGGTTGATGGTAAACGGCCTCACACTGGCAGAGTCCATGCGTTCTCAGTTAGGACAACTTAAAGCTGTCGGCCAGTTGCTTTCTCTGCCAGGGAATTTCTCCGGGGTCCGTCTCTGAAAGGCTTATGGAAGAAACTTGCAGTGGGGGCCTTCCCAACCCTGTCTCGGGTCAGGTTTAAGTCATCCTTTGTGGTTGCTGGCGAGCCACGTGGCGTCGTCCGATCTCCGTGGGCTTAGCTCGACGAAAAAGCTTAAAAGGGGAACTTGGTCGTTCCTGAATTAGACCAGTGTAACTTAACGGACTGATAACTTTAACAAAACAAAAGAAAGAAAGAAAATAAAACAAATAAAGTTGCTGTTAACGAGGGAAAATTGATGTCGCGGCACTTCGCGTGTGTAGCTTCAAGCGAAACAAAGACTTCGTTGCGCTAGTGGGAATTCTTAGGGCGTTGTCTGGAGAGGCACGCCAGACGAGTGCCGAAGCGTCCAGAGAGCAGAGCAGAAGACAAGAGCACGAGGAGAAGAGAAGAGAGCAGGCGACGTCGTGTGTCACTCTTTTGTTGTCTGGGGCGTGGTTCCCCAAAGGGCAGTCCTTTGTTCCCGACCGGGAGCATTTCCGGTTTCCCGAGGGACTGCCTTTCTAAACTTTTAATATCTATAAAAGAAAAGAAAATCTGTTTTTCCACCATCAAACCTCAATGGTCAAACAGTTGTACTGTTCTAAGTTAAGCATTTGGTAACAGGAAAACAATTGTCAGATTATTGTTCATGATAAGAGTGACATTTATACATTAACGGCATTTCCGACGATGGTATGTAATACTTATTTCGTACACTTGGGGGAGCTCAGGTTACATGAGGAAAGCTTAGATTAATCCAAAACAATCTTTCCTTAGGAAATGGGGAATTTAGTTATTCAGCCTTAAATTAAAGCCGGCAATTAATAGAGTATAGATGACATTTCTTTATCATCATTACTAAAGGAATTGTGTGAGAAAGTATTGTGAACAAGCATTGGTTACACATAAGATGAAGGAGTGTCCTTAATCTTGCTGAAAATAAAAACACTGCCAAAGTAACTTCTTTAGATTCTTTTCAGCACTAATATCAACAACAGATAGCAACAACATGGTATCATAACTACTCAAATAGAGGCAAATGTAATCAAGTAACTAAAAGATTTAATTAAACAGTTAATGTTTTGAGTCTTTGGAGACTGCGGTCTTTGTTTACATAAAGTTCAGGGCCGTCCTGGATTTTGTCACTTAGGCGTGGAGGGGTATCCCTTTGATGGGGTAATGATACACAGAGCAAGGTCAGTTGCCATGGTTACAAGTGTGTGGGGGGGCAGATTTGGATTTCCTGTTCCCCTCCAAGGACAGTTCCGATAGTCTGTTCAGGGAAATGCTAATTGCTGGTTAATGTCCCTTTTGTCAGTTTAACAGTCAGGCACTGAGAGACTTATCTCGGCTGTTGTGTGTTTTACGATCAACTGCTCATGAATAGCACTTAGAGAAAGCGACCTTTCCACCCCCCATTCTGTTGGGGTCTCTGTAGCCGTCTGTTGAAAGTTGATCTCCACCTCCCTGCTCTCAGGGAGAGGGGAATAGTTTTGAGTAGTTCAAATTAATTTAATATAAATGCACACTGTGTAACAACAACATAATGAAGACATTTAATAACATGTTAGATTTAGTTCCACTTCCGGAAATACCGCTCATCTCATGTGCTCTCTGCCTGGACCCCCGCCCGGAAGGAAGCTTCGATGTACATGTAGAATCTGTACATTCTTTTTTTTTTTTTATTACTCTTTATTTTGCATTTTTCTTATTACAACACAACATACAAAAACAAAGAACAAGGGGCACCAGATATTGTATAATAACAAAATAAAGTATTACAATTAAAGTGTTAGAATTGCTCCGCTTCTTTATATGCAAGCCATTTTTCCCAATGCTTATTATATATGTGACCTTTGATACGTAGAAAGTATGTCATTTTCTCCATTGAGTGAATCTCCTCCACTATTTCTTTCCATTGCTCAATCCGAGGTGGGTCGATCTTTAGCCAAGACCGAGTGATAGCCTTTTTACATGCAATCGTTAGAATTTTAAAAAGATAAATGTCATCTTTTTGGACCACCTCACCAGGTAGTAGACCTAGCAAGAAAATCTTGGGATCTCTAGGGATGACATAACCCATTATACTCCCAGTAATTAGAAAGATACTGTCCCAGAATTGCTCTAACTTTGAGCACGTCCAAAATATATGAGAGTGATTGGCGTTCCAATGCCCACACTGCCGCCAGCATTGCTGTTGTTCACCCCTTAGTTTATTAATAATATGAGGTGTAATGAAAAATCTGACCAGATTCTTCCACCCAAATTCCCTCCATCTTTTCGAGCTAGTAGACGTTTGTTGTGTCACACACATCGAAAGCCAATCACCCTCTGACACTTCCATACACAGCTCCTTTTCCCATTTTGACTTAATATACAAGGTATTATTTCCATTTTGTTTCTGCAGAGCTTTATACAATTTAGAGACAGTTTTACTTGGTTGGAGCTTATAAGCATTAATAAAAACTTGAACAATGTCATTGCCCTCAGGAGAAATACCCACCCTTATTTCACTGTTATAGAAATGTCTCACTTGGAAATATTTGAATAGGTCCCTGTTCTCTAGATTATATTGTCTCTTGAGTTGTTCGAATGTCTTAAAGGTATTACCATCTACAAACTGGCACAGGGCCATAAGGCCTTGATCTTTCCAACTCAAGAATGAAGAATCTATTTCACCAAGTCGAAAACTCGGGTTGCAGGAGGGCCAGATCAAGAGTTTAATATCATTAGCCAATTTGTATTTATTTACAACCTCTTTCCAAATTAAAAGCGTGTCTTCAACTATACGATTCCCATCTTTGTTTGTGATAATTTTACCTCCTAGACGGGTTTGAGGTTGGCTCTGACCCTGGGTTAGTTCGATCTGTCTCCATTGAGCTTCGATTTCTGGGGAACACCAGTAGACCATATATCTCATTTGAGATGCGTAGTAGTATTCCTTCAGATTTGGAAGGGCTAGCCCGCCATGATCTTTATCAATCTGAAGTGTTCTAAATTTTATCCTTGGTCTAGCCCCTGCCCAGATAAATCGTGATATTAACCGGTCCCAAGCGTGAAAGTGTGAGTCAGAAATCCTGATAGGCAACGACATAAAAATACAAAAATCTAGGAAGCAGGTTCATCTTCACTATTTCCAATCTAGAATTGAAGTCTAGTATCAGCATTGTCCAGCGGTTCATGTCTTTTTGTATTGAGTCACTAACTTTCTCGAAATTCAAACTGAACAAATCGTCTAGATCTTGGGAGATAAACACACCTAGATACTTTTTAGCTTCCCAATTAAGTTTATAATTGTGCCGTATGGATTTACTGGGGGAGTAGTTAATGGTCAGGACTTGTGTTTTGGTAATGTTTAGGTTATAACCAGACAGCTGACCAAACTCTGTCAAAGTTCTCATAAATTTAGGGAGGCTTGCCTCTGGGTTTTGGAGGTAGGCGATAACATCATCTGCAAAAAGTCCAATTATATGTTCAGTACTTGCAATAGTAATGCCTTTAAGCTCTTCATTTTGCCTAATAGCCTGTGCCAAGGGTTCTATGAATAATGCGAAGAGCGTTGGACTGAGGCAACAGCCTGGTCGAGTAGCTCTAAACAGTTGAAATCTATCAGTTAGGTGGCCATTAATTTTTACCCTGGCCATCGGCCTGTCATACAGTGACTGAATACATCTGATAAATTGATTGTTAAAGTCAAAACGCTCGAGTACCTTGTATAAAAAGGGCCAGCTGACCCGATCAAAGGCTTTCTCCGCGTCGAGGCTGACTAAAGCCAAACTCAGTTGTTGTTTCTTGGCTTGGTCCATGACATGCAATGTTCGTCTTATACTGTCGTGAGTTTGGCGGCCTTTAATGAATCCTGTTTGGTCCTCATGAATCAAATCTATAAGATAATTCTCCATTCTCTTAGAGATTATAGAGGTAAAGATTTTATAATCGACATTCAGTATTGAGATCGGACGATATGACTCACAATATTGTATATTTTTTCCTTCCTTAGGGAGGACAGATATTACTGCCTCTCTCCATGATGGCGGTATCTCTGCTCTACTCAGAGACCAATTAAAAGACTCCAGCAGAACAGAAGCGAGTTCCTCTTTGAAAATCTTGTACCACTCATTTGAAAACCCATCGCTACCTGGGCATTTGTTAGTTTTCAGATTTCCAATAGCTGCGTCCAATTCTTTTCGAGTAATAGGGGTAGTTAATGCGCCGTTTTGTATTAATCCTAGGGAAGGCAAGTCTAAACCTCTCAAATACTGTGTAATAACGCTTTCATTTACTGGTTTTGAGGGTGTGTATAATGTTTGATAATAATTTTCAAAGATTTTATGAACTTGATTGATATCATAAGTCAAACTATCAGTTAAAGGGTCTCTAATTTTGGTAATCGAGTACTTCAATTGTTGCTTTCGGAGGCGCCTTGCTAGAATTCTTGTGGCTTTTGAACCAGATTCGTAAAAGGTCTGTTTTGAAAATCG